GAATCAACTAAAGGCCAAACCTATCCGCCCATTAGGTTGTGGTGTTCAGACGAACTTCACCAACGGTACTCTACATCGTCTCAGAGTCGGCAAAATTTTAAAAAGGTAAACATCCATATCCTAACTATAGATTCAGCTGCGTTAGGATTTATTTCGATAAAGTTCAATGCTGTGCATGTTGTTTGACGTTCCTAACAGAACCCAACACAAGGTCGTTGGTTAGGCGGCTTCACGATGAAGATAGGATTTTGCTCGATTATGGCTGCAGAGCTATGGGGGCACTTTAAAGGTCTTACCATGGCCTGGGATTTGGGGTTTCGCCAAGTGGTGGCAGAAGTTGATAATGCGAGCGTGGTGGGCTTTGCTGAGACGTTAGATGATGTCATGGGAATGCATGAGGGACTGGTTTTGGGTATTAAGGAACTCTTGGGTAGACCTTGGAGGGTCAATGTGTCACATATCTACCGCAAAGCGAATTTTGCGGCTGCCTACTTGGCCTCCTTCGCTTCTGACTGATTGTTGGGGTACCAGTTCTATTCTACTCCACCCGTTGGGGTCCGACCGTGGCTTCATCATGATATAATTGGTGTTTCGTATTCGAGAAATGTGTGTGACTTGAGCTGTTAAGCTTGAGTTCTTTCATGTACAAAAAAAAAATAAGATTATTATTGATAAAGAAAATATTTTTAATTAATGTGTAACTTCTCAAAATGACATATATTAAAAATAGGAGGCAATATTGTTTTTTTTTTTGTACCCAACCTGAACATCACACTTCACATAGCAACAAAATCCTAATAATCACAATTGTCCACACGTGATAACATACAGATCACATTTTAGGTCGCAATTCACATAGCAACAAAATCTTTTATACGACAAATCATGTGACGAGCTCGGATTTGAGCCAAAGGCGAGCGGTCCAATATCTGAAACGCGTGGCCCACGCCCTCGTAGACCACGCGCTCAACCCTCCGCCCGCGAAACTCCAGATTCCGATCCCTCAATATATCCATCCCGGACACGCACACCAGCACATCCACGTCCGGCGCCGCAGGGTTGCACCATGGGTGGTCCCGATTTGCCCCCTCCGGCAGGGCCATCCGCCAGTACGCGTCGGCCGCCGCCAGCGTCAGGGCGGACCCCGACGCCTGCCTTTCCGAGGCGGTCCGCTCCTCCCCGCCGAAGAAAGGCTGTATCAGAATCAGCCCCCTGACCTCCGCCGGCCTCTGCCGCAGCGCCACGTGGCAAGCTATGTTCCCGCCGGCGCTGTCCCCGCCCAGGAAGATCCTCTTGAAGTCGCACCGGCTGGCCCACCAGCTGGAGCCCTCCTCCTCCGCCTGCCGCCGGACCCAG